AGCATTATATATCTCAATCGTCGTTCCTCGATCCGTAAAAACATATTTGTGTACACATTTTCTTTTGTAATTACTTTAAAAGGAATATACGCATGATGAGTTTAGGCCGTAAACAAAAATATTTTGGCATGGCAGTCTAAATAAGTTTCTGGATATATTTTATTATTAGTATAAACTAATGCAATCAATTCATGGCAAATTAAAAATATTTAACATGGTTAGTGTTGATTTACATTTATATGTTTAAAATACATAAAAATCGTCTAAACTTCTTAAATGATTTATGCTTTTGGATATTGGAGTCAATTGCCTATATGCCTGCGAATTGGACCAGGTCAGAGGTCCGTAGGCTTCAAGGCGTAGTAAGAAAAAAAAAAAAAAATTGGGGGACAGCTCATGCATGTATATGCACGGAAATGAAATAGTCTTTGTCTGTCTGATGGATCTCCTTCATGACTTGTGAAGTCTTCAACTTAATTTTCAAACTACTTCTTCCATACAATTATGAGCCAGCATTCTTCCTTTTCTTCATTACAAAACTTTTCTCAAAATGTGGGAGCATTTACCAATTAAAGTTAGCACAAGTTGTGAGTCCCATATCATTTAAACAATTCAGTGAAAGTTTGAATTACAATTTTTGTGTTTGTAATAATTTAGTTGAGAGATCCTTACCATTTACTTTTGGTGGTAGTATCTTGAGGAAAATATTGATCTCTGCTGTTCACAGAGCTTAATCATTATGCTTATCAAAATCTTGATCTATTTTACAATATGTCACTTTCTCCAGTTCTTTTTATAAGGTTATGTTATCTGCTTTTCTTTAATTAAAAAATTAGTTAAATGCCAAATATTTTTATAACTTTTCAAAATCCATTTTTGATTAGTATATACACTCCCTCCATTTATATTTATAAGAGAAAAAAATTATATCACATAATTTTAAAAAATCAGTTAACTATGTTGATTGTATCTAAAAATAAAAAAATTGAACTACAATACCTTTTATTTATTATGTTAATCAAGTTTGATTAATTGTTTTTTATAACTATGAATGATAAAATTATAAGGGTTAATTTAATAAGTTTACAATAAATGTTTATTAAAAAATATAATTTTATTTATATAAAAAAATAAATTAAAAGTAATAATTTATCCTATAAATAGAAACGTGAGGAATAATTGATTAGGGGGAGAGATGAGATGGGAAAAAAGAAGTTACATTTTAGAATTAATTGATGGTCCATTTTATAATCACACATAAATATACGTGTGTATCATTAATTGCTTTTTTTATTTTATTATTTTTTTTATTTTTTATATATGAGAAGGGTAAAATGTCACGTGCAAGAGAAAATACTTTTAAAAGTTATGCATTTAATAACGGAAAATTGATTTTTTTTTTCTTTTTCAGACGCATCAATAATTTAGCCACCATTCATTGCACCCGGTGGCAATAAATTCAATAAATGCTCGTATAGATATGGATGCTTTTAAATTTATGACATGATATTACTGCACTGGCTGGATTGAAGCTATCAACTTGAATGTTTCTTGTCGGAGTATCTAACTCATGGAAATGTCATTAATTGTGAATTTGTGGATAGACTATAGATATGGAGGAGGAGCTAGTTTAATTTAATGTTTAAATTGCACAACAAAAATATGGTTCAACTTTTGAAAATGTTTTGTTTGAAGACCAAAATAATTCGGAGGAACGCAAGTGGACAAAGATTATCGGGTTGCATTTTTAATGTGCACCATTTTTTTGTTGGCAAAAAAAATCATTTCTAATTTTTAATATAGTATTTTGACATATCGATATTGTATATCACATGATAAATGCTACGGAATCCCACAATTTGTGTTTATTTTGACCAGAAAAAAAAAATTCCCTTTTCAAGTCTGTTTAAGTGCCATGCATTGTGTTACCATATATTTATCATAATGCATTGTGTTATGATATGCTTTTTTCATCTCAAATTATAAAATATCTTTAGATAAAATTACAATACTAATAAAAATTATTAAATATAATTCATAACTTTACTTTTTAAAATAAAAATATAAATTTTTAAAAAATTTTCTTATTTAATACTCTATTTATCAAAGAATATTAAAGAAAAAATATAATAAAAATAATAGTATTATTAATAAAAAAAATTTTAGTTTTTATATTTTGAGACGTTGAACTTTTTTTAAAACTATTTTATAATTTAAAAGGATGAGAGAGCATTATCTATTTAGATAATTTATTATGTTAAGATTGCGTAAGATAATATATTTTTACACATTGACTGGCGACTGATATGAAAGTTAATTAGGCTCATCTCAATCACATCGCATATATGCTTTTCTTATGTTTTAGTACCATGATATCAATGATCACCAATTATTCGCCTTACATGTAATTTGGATGAAAAGACTGATTAATTGAAAGAAAATTTCGTTTTAACCATTCTAAATCAAAGTTTGCTTAAAAAGCTATATAATTTTGCGAGAAAACAAAATTCACTTCCTATAATTTGGATTAAAATAAAAATAATATAAACATAAAACCTACTGCAAGGAAAAAAATTAAATCTCCAAAGATTTTTTTTACTGTTAATTATAAATGCGGTTTTATTTTAATTTGGATTCTCTTCTAGTTTAATTATGTTTATTTTCTGAGTTAGACTTTACCATCTTATTCTCATACCGATGAGCGACTGTGTTATACGTTGCAGCTGTAGTAGGAGGACGATTCTTGGCTCGAGACATAACCTTTCAAAACACGGCCGGTCCGTCCAAGCACCAGGCGGTGGCTCTCCGGGTGGGCGCTGACCTCTCCGCCTTCTACCGGTGCGACGTGCTCGCATATCAGGACTCCCTCTACGTCCACAGCAACCGCCAGTTCTTCATAAACTGTCTAATAGCAGGCACCGTCGACTTCATCTTCGGCGACTCTGCCGTCGTCTTACAAGACTGCGACATCCATGCCCGCCGTCCCAACTCCGGCCAGAAGAACATGGTCACCGCACAAGGCCGTGTCGACCCTAATCAGAACACCGGCATCGTCATCCATAACTGCAGAATCGGCGCCACCCAGGTACGTACGTAAAATTGGTGGTGATCAATAGTTAATCATATATCATCGAATCTTACCATAAAATATTGTCAATAAGTAAATAAAAAAAAATCATAGTAGAGTCTAATAAATGTACCTGCAAATCCATAGCTGTGGAAAAAAAAAATAGTCTCAAATGAGAATCTCAATTATTTCGACGGTAAATATATTTACAAATTACAACCCTCGAGAGATCCCCTTAACTATACAAGAGAACATAGAGTATATATGAAATTATAGGGAAAACAGGGAGGGTAAAAGATGGTGAGTATTGGCATAACTAATATCCTCATATAATTAACGCAGAAGACTGACCCGGTAACCAATTTAAAGTGTTAATTAATTATCTTATAAACTCCTAACTGGGATGAATACACGGCGCAAGCGGTGCTTCCCCAATTTCACTATTGCCTTGTAATTTTTTAAAATTTTATTTGTAAAAAAATGTGAAATTTAGTTTAGCCCCCCCTATTATTCTAGATAATTTTCAATTTTGCCCCGTGTATGCCTCTTTGGATTCGTCACTTCCTTGACTCAGTCATCTTTGTGATCTGAAGGATTAAAACTGATAGCTAAAAGATTGTGTAGGCTGCACCATTGTCCAAATGGGTTCACTTGTGTGATTCACTTGTTCATCGCAATCCACCGACAACAAGATCATGAAAGGCCAATATCCACAGTATTTGAAATATTCAAACATAGTATTTATAGTTCGTATTTTCTGCTGAATTGCAGGATTTATTGGCAGTGAAGGGAAGCGTGGAAACGTACCTGGGGAGGCCATGGAAGGAGTATTCAAGGACAGTGATAATGAAGAGTGAGATAAGCGACGTGATCCAGCCAGAAGGATGGTTCCCTTGGGAAGGGAATTTTGCTTTGAACACTTTGTTCTACGGGGAGTATCAGAACACTGGACCTGGAGCTGTTACTTCTGCAAGAGTTAACTGGAAAGGATTTAGGGTTATTACCAGTGCCACTGAAGCTCAAAGTTTCACTCCTGGAAACTTCATTGCAGGCTCTAGCTGGTTGCGTTCTACAGGCTTCCCATTTGCCCTTGGCCTGTAAGTTAACTTTGGAAAAATAATTTGACTCTGCAGAGTCTAGCCAGTGATCTATATTGTTGATCAGTGGTTTGAACTCCGATAACATACAGCTAACTAATAATGCTGTAATCCCTAAGCCACCGGCCAGTTTGTGCAATTTTTCTTAAGTTATTGTATTAAACATTAAGGATATATGCTTCTTTGTTTGGCCGGGGGGTTAATTAAAAGAAAGCAAGGATGTGCTTTTTAAGAAGTGGACATGTGAACTGAGGCAGAGATTCAAAATGTTGTATTTTGAAGCTTATTTTTAGCATTTGAATTTGAAAGTGGAAAAGCTGAAAAAGCGGAGCACGTGGTAGTAGTGAAAGAATCAAGCGTACGCACGTACGTAGTGGAAGGAAGTGGAAAAAGATGAGATGAGGATAAAAAAGTGCAATACGGAATAAAAAAGAAAAATGGCCCTGTGAAGTACGAAGGAAGGGGAAAGGAAAATCCAACCGTGAAGCAGAGCCAGAGAGCTGGGAGACACTACTACTACCAAAAAAAAAAATTGTGTGGGAGTACTTGAACGCTTCAAAAATGTTCCCTATCTAGGCATTCCTGTGTGCACGAGATTAATTAATATATTATTTACCTACAAAATATCCATATTGATGGCAAGATTTAAGTTCACGCTAGCATAATTTGGGTGATCATCTTTTTTACTTCAACTATATAAACTCTCATTTACATATTCATATCTATAAAATCTTATCTAAACCACATTATATAGAGACGCCGAAGAGTATGACTTCTCTCTATAATTGACTAATTAATCACTAGTTGACTTACATTGGGGTTCCATGCCACGGGTCATGGGAGAAGCTAAGGAGCTCCAAGACGCAGCAAATAGCCAACAGGGGACCCATGTTGTGGCCAGAAATAAAAGGGGACCAGTTTTCAAAATATATATATATATATATATATTTCCATGCAAATTAAAAATCAGTATAAACCAACCAAGAGTGATCAGATTCAAATATATATATATATATATATATATTATGAGGGGTTGAAATCATATTTGGAGAACTTTTAATTGAATATACCAATACTTTAGTAGATAGCATAAAATCAACATAAAATATAAAATTTATAGCCAATTATAAATAGTCATCATTATATTGTATTTAACATAAAATATAAGGATGCATCTATTTTTATTGGTTTTTTATTTTAAGATGACAAACATTAAGAAATATCACAAAATTAGTCACACGTTTTTTGTTCTACGTTAATAATTACACCAAGTTGTTTTCGACGCCTCATCTACCGACAATATCCCAAAAAAAAAAAAGGTGCACTTCAAATTCTTGCTCCATAAATCCTTTCGCCATTCTCTTCTGGAGCTTCCTCAACCTCTCTGTACCTGATTTACATATATTCTCATTTTCTCTTCTCTCCCCCCCTCGCTCTAGTCAAATTCTGAAACTTAACCATGTCCAATTCTGGCGACGCCATTCCCATGTCCAGGAAGAAGTCTTCTTCTTTGCTTTCCTCACTAATCTGCTCTCAGTCTCAGCCATTGTCGGCATTATCGTCGGAGTTAAATCCAGCAAAATCTCCGGCACCGACATTGATAATATCCGTTTCACCCCGTCACACTACTTAGTAAAAACCGCTTGCAGTTCCGCGTTGTACCGTGAACTCTGCTTCTCCGCCATTACCTCCGAGCCGGGCTTCACCGAGAATTTGTCCAGCCACAAAGATGCCAGAGAACTGTCCCTCAACATAACCATCAGGTCCGTAGGGCAAAACATGTTAGATATTTTATCTTATTATATAGTATATTCTATTGTTAATTATTATAATTTCAGTTAAATAAAATATTCTAAGTGTGGTCCGCTAATCGGTTGTTGACAGAGTCTAAGTTTAGGGATATTATTAGTCATTTATTTAATTAAGTAAAAAATAATATGATGGGCACTATAAGTAATTGACAGTGATTTGAGTGAGGGTACAGTCTATCAAAAAACGTAATCTCTACTCTCTAGGGTTCCTTGATTAGTGATAGCGATCTCCAATTCATCACTATGCTTTTACCCTAGTTAGAAGGTACCCTAATAATCTTTTCTCTGACAAAATTTTTCTGATTTTAGTGTTCTTAATTGAAGGTGTTATTTGTGAATACTCTGCATCATATTAATAAGCAATAGCAAAAGGTATTTCATAAAGGCTTTCTAGCATATGATTGTCTTAAAATCATATTATCAATTTATTATTATTTTTCTCCCAACAAAACAAGCTCACTGTCAACAAAATTTGAGCCAAAAAAAGGCCTGACGAAGGGACAGAAAGTCGCTCTTCACGATTGCTTGGAAACTGTCGGAGAAACCCTGTACGAGCTTCGTCATGTCATCGTAGACCTCAAAGACTCCACTAATCACGCCGACGACATCAAAACTTTTCTCAGCGTCGCCATGACCAACCAGGAGACATGCCTGAACGGGTTCTCCTTCAACAAGGACGACAGAAGCGTGAGAGAAAGGCTGAAGAACGGGCAAGTTCACATGGAACGCTTGTGCAGCAACGCACTGGCAATGATTAAGGACATGACAGACAATGATATGTCTAGTAATAACAGAAAACTGATGGAACTTGAGGAGGTGGATGGTGGTACATGGCCAGTGTGGATGTCAATCAAGGACAGCAGTCTTTTACAGTCGTCGATGGTGACTCCAAATGTGGTGGTGGCTGCTTATGGGAGTAGGGATCATAGGACGGTGTCAGAGGCGACGGTGGCAGCACCGACGAGAAGTAGCACGAGGTATGTGATAAGGATAAAAGCCGGGGTGTATAGAGAGAACGTAGAGGTATCGAGCTCGAAGATGAATGTAATGTTTGTGGGAGCTAGATAGCAGAACCAACACCATCATCACAGGAAGCAGAAATGTTGTTGATGAAACCACAACCTTTAACTCTGCCACTATGAGTAAGTACTTCAATTCAATACAAGTGTTTTAATATCTTCCGGTCAAACATTTTAAAATGAAAGTAACCCAAAACAGGAAATATTGATTACATATGTTTTAATATTCACGCTTTTGTTTTAAATATTCTCGACCTTGCAAATTAATTGGGTTGCTACATCGAGGTCAATTGAATCATCCATATCGCAACAAAATTGGACAAGAAAGAGGCTCTAGCAGTCTCTAAGTTAGGTTCCACTTCACTCTCTCTTGAAATCTGTGTCGTCATTCTTCTCTTCTTTCATAGACAACTAAGATCATTGGAAGATACCTCTGCACCGGCTGAAGGATGTCCTCTCATGGAAATCGAAAAAAAGAAGTTGATAGAGGACTATTACTCTACTATGGTGGATGTAGTTATGGATGAAAAAATGCTGGGCGAGACTAGGAATGACAAGGCGACTGCCATGGATCATGATGAAGGTGAAGGTCGCGAGAATCAGCATGAAAGTGAGACGAAACAAACGTCTCACAAAGATTCTTTATTGGGGTATGATGGTGTTGCAAATGGTGGGGAGATTGTTGAAGATGATCTTATTTTGGATGATGAAGAGACATGATAGGATCCGTTGGAAGTCTCTGAAGAGATTAAGCAAATGAAAGAGTTTTATCTAGAAGTACTCAACACCACAGAGGAATTCAACGAGTGGTGTAAACCATGGAATCAAGCCTCGATCATCATAGTGCTTGGAAAAAGATTCAATATCTTTGAACTGAAAAGTTATCTTGACTTTCTATGGGGTATAACGAGCTTTGAACTCATTGAGTTACCCAACAGCTATTTTGTTGTGTGCTTCAAAGATTGAGAAAATGTGGTATCCAAAAACATTATTTTAATTGATACAGAATTTAAAATAAAGACAATTTTTTGACTATCATTCAAAAAAATTTATTTAAAAAACACCAGTTGAAAATTTATAAATTTATATTATAAAAATTAAATTTAAACAGTCTAGAGATGATGATCTCTCAGTACTCATTTATATGATGAACACTGAGACTGATTCCTATATAGTATAAACTTTTAGTACTAATAGTAGTAGTGAGCAAGCATCTTGGGTCCTCACATGATATCTTTTCCTAACTGGCCAATTTGCACTTGTTTTCTAATTAATTTGCATTAGTTTGAATTAGTGAGTTAATTATATTGTTTGAGTTATGAATTGTGGAACTCGTTACATTGTTTTTATATTTTATATTCTCGAGTTAGAAATCATTTGTTTTTTTTTGATACAATAAACTACACACGCATACTTTACATTGAGAAAGATAACTAATCTTTTTTTTATATATATAATTCGGATATATAATTAATTTGCCAGATTGTTAGTTAAATTCATTAAAATTTATGTGGCTTTGCCACTGGTAAATAATATGTGCACCGTATGTGTTTATGATATTATGTTTAAGATATTTTGGCCATTTTTCTGTTTCAATAATAAGTAGTGTGGTGTACGCTTTAATAATGGCAATGGTGACTGACTAGTTTGAACTTATTTTTCTTTTTCAGAAAAAAATAAGAATAATCTATCTAAAAATATTTAAAACAAGAGCGCGACGAATTTATATTACAAATGTATAGTCCACATCCTAAAATCAAGTGTTGATGTTTCATGGCCCTTCTAATCCACTGCTCGCTTATACATAGCTGATTGTGGATTTGTGGTGTCCAAATGTCATATAACACTTTGAAGGTGATGCCCTATGCATTGGAATAGACAGATCATCGTTATCAGAATATATATGTATGTATGCATGTATCTATGTATGTATCATTAAAAACGAAGAATATTATGTAGCCAGTATACATAAGCAAGTTTAACCAACGCCAACTTCTTTAGCCCTACTTTGCCAAATGGCATACGGCGCTTACATTTGATTATTTTACATTATTACTTGACACACTTGATATACATTATTATCATCGCCATATCATTTCTAATAGAAAAAATTATACTGAGAATTTATTATCAAGTCTCACAAAATTTATAAAATATTCTCAAATTATAAATTCTACACATTTACAATTTAACTAAGGTATTTATAATTGATCAATGAGCATTTGCAACTTGCAAAAAAAAAAAACAACTTATAATGGCAAGTTATAAATATCCATTTCTCAATTATAAATGCCCTTAAAAAAATTGTAAATGATCAAAATTTAGAACTTATAAATATTTTATAAAATTTATGAAACTTTGGATAATAAATTCTCTTATACAGCATTTAGAGGCAATTTTCCCTTTCTATTATTTCTCTTTCATTTTCATTGAAACAGTTAAGTTCGTGTCGGTATCGAATAGAACGACGTTTTTCTTTATTCAGATTTGTGATATTTTGTTTACTGATTCATCATTTTGCAGCTTGTTTTTATAGGAGGCCTAGTCATCAACTAATAGAAAATCAAGACTGCCTGAAGCTTTACTCCTTCAATTTGGACCGCGTCTGATCGAAATTGGAAACCACGCACATTAAGGAAAACATTGAAATAGGTGTTGACATATGTCAGGTCATATTCAGTAAATATTTGTATGCTAGGTTTTTTCGGTTATAGAGTACATGTCGGATGTAACCGCGTTAACAGGCACACGAATAAAATATGAAAACAATTATTGTTATTAATAGAATATAAGTGCATGGATTCAGTTTCAGCATAATCTAACTTCTTACACTGATAGACACAAACCTATAGCAAATTAAGAATCTTTCAAAATAACGCTCTCTAAATTCTCTTGCTATTTTTTTTTTTTCGAGTTGTTGTTGCTAAAAACAAAATACACAACCAAACCAGAATCTGATCTGCAGGCATTATTATCTTCTTCCCCGTCTTTATAAAATGCAATCAAAATCTAAGTACTGAAATCCAAAACCAGAAGAGAAACAAAATCGAAATTCCATGATGGATAATTCCATGAACTCCTTCAAGGGGTACGGTAAGGCAGATGAGCTCGAGAACCAAGCCTTTCGGAAGGAGACACGTAAGCGCATGATCATCCTCATCTTGTCCTCCATAGTTCTAGGGATCGTGATCGTCGCCGCCGTTGCCGGAACCCTAATTCATACGCATAATAATACCTCTTCAGGCAACTCGGCCCCTTCTTCTGCTGAGTTAACTCCGGCAGCTTCAATCAAAGCCGTCTGCGACGTGACTGGGAACCCGAACTCGTGCATCTCCACCATCTCATCGCTCCCTACCTACTCTAACACGACTGACCCTGAACTCCTCTTCAAGCTCTCTCTCCGCGTCGCCATTGACGAGCTCTCGAAGCTCGCAGCCTACCCAGCAAAGCTCAGAAGCAATGTAAAAGACCACAGTGTACAGACGGCCCTCGATGTCTGCGGAAATGTTCTTGAAGATGCGGTCGATCGGCTGAACGACTCGCTTTCGTCGCTGGAAGTCGGAGGAGGCGAGACGATGCTAACGCCGGCGAAGATCGATGACATTAGGACGTGGTTGAGCACGACGATTACGGATCAGGAGACTTGTTTGGACGCGATTGAGGAATTGAATTCCTCCGCCGCTAAAGAGATTCTTCGTGATATGAGAACCAACATGAAGAACTCTACAGAATTTGCGAGCAACAGCTTGGCCATTGTCACGAAGATTATGCGCCTGCTTGCGAACGTCAACCTCCCTGTCCATCGGAGGCTGCTGGGGTCGAATTTCCCGGCGTGGGTTGGCCCGACAGAGCGGAGGCTGCTGCAGCAAGAGGCGAACGCAATGACGCCGGATGCAGTGGTGGCAAAGGACGGAACTGGGCAGTACCGGACTATCAATGAGGCGGTGGCGGCCGTGAAGAAGAAAAGCGAGAGTAGATTCGTGATTTACGTAAAGGAAGGCGTTTACATAGAAAATGTAGAATTGAAGAAGGACACTTGGAACGTTATGATTTTCGGAGACGGGGAAAAAAAAAACCATAATCTCCGGCAGCCAGAACAGAGTTGACGGCACACACACTTTTGACACTGCCACTTTTGGTAAGCAACCGATCAAACTTCTCATTTTAATTTCTCGAGGCTGAATGCCTTAGATTCATAAAATAAAAGTGCCACATATATACTTCAATATTTGCAGCCGTTAGCGGGAAGGGATTCATAGCCAGGGACGTAGGATTCGTTAACACAGCCGGTCCGGCCAAACACCAAGCAGTGGCCCTGCGATCCGGCTCAGACCGTTCAGTCTTTTACCGGTGCTCCTTCGACGGCTTCCAGGACACTCTCTACGCTCATTCCAACCGTCAGTTCTACCGTGACTGTGACATCACCGGGACCGTCGATTTCATCTTCGGCAACGCTGCTTCTGTCTTCCAGAACTGCACCATCAATCCCAGACAGCCTCTCCCAGGCCAGTTCAACACCGTCACAGCTCAGGGCAAGACTGACGCAAACCAGAACACTGGCATTGTAATCCAGAACTCCTCAATTTCCGCGCTCGATCAAAATCTCACTGCTTCCACCTACCTGGGAAGGCCCTGGAAGAATTACTCCACGATGGTGATAATGCAGTCTGATATTGGGCCATTGTTGGACCCTGCGGGCTGGGCTGAATGGATCCCTAACGTGGAGCCTCTGAGCACTATATTTTATGCTGAGTATCGGAATTCTGGGCCGGGCTCAAATGTAACCCAGCGGGTTCGATGGGCTGGTTATAAGCCCAACCTATCAGAAGAAGATGCAAGGAAGTTCACGGTTCAGTCATTCATCCAGGGTAGCCAGTGGTTGCCTGACACAGACGTGGAGTTTCAGTCCTCGTTGTGATAATGTTCATTGCTTAATGTTTCTTCGTTTCTTTGATTCCTTCACTAATTGGCGTTGTAAAATGATTTTATTTTATCTTTTTCCAACGACAAAAGGGAAGTGTAACACTTGAGAGCCCGAGTGACTGCTTGGTTACATGCAAATTGATGTAATGTAATGAAAAATTTCTATACCATTGACTTGTGCGTTTGGTTGTTTTATAATCCATTACCTATATGAGATTTATTGATTTATTTATTATCATAAATCGTGTAATTATGGACGTCATTGAAAGGAAATCACAGAGGTTAGTCGAAGTCTAAAATGCCCTTGCCCCAAGTCAACGCCGTCCACCGTCTGATGTGTCATCTGTTGTCGTTAACCACTGCTATATATGGCCACCACTGGCCGCTTATGCTTGGCAAGGGGCATTTCAAAAAAATTTTTTTTAGTCTTTTTTAAAATTAAAATAAAAAATAAATTTGTTCACATGCATGGCCACCCATCGCAGGTATCCGAATGAATGCAATCAACTTTTCCACATAAACAGGTTTTCAGAAAATTGGAGTTCATTCCAAACTTCTACTTGAAGACAGCCAAAATAATAATAATAATAATAAACGAATAAAGTCAAAATATTATTTATTCATCTCACTTTCATGATTTTTTTAATATTTTTTATAGAACTATCTGATAAATTTAAAGTTTAAACTGTATAATTGAACTAGTTTTTATCTTTTGATAAAAAAATTTGGAAAACCATTTTGGAGAACTTCCGCCTTAAACCGTTACACGCACACGGAAGGAAGTTTGGAAAAAGAAA